GAAAGAATACCTGAAATGTACGGGAGCATAAGCTCGGAAGATCAAATGAGTCTTGGACAAGTTAACTTCACGGCTTATCCAGTCGGTCAAAGTCTTCATTGACCTCTGGAGGGCATTTTCGACACTCATCTTCATCTTTATGTCTGCCCCTTCTTGGAAATAACAGCCCCTGATAAAAAAAGTCAACGTATAAAGAATTTGAGGTTCGGTTTATTTTACTGTGGCATCACTAGAGAAATAGCTAAACCGTAAAGATTTATCAAATTTAATTGATCTCTTGATATTTTCGAACTAATTTTTTATTTTTTTAGCTGATTATGGGGTTTTCCGAGTGAGATGTGAGATTCATTATGCTACTTATGTGGACATTTGCTTAACATAAACTGAAAACTGTAGCACACTATATTGAAGGTGAACAAAGACAACCATGAAACATTTTTAATCCCCATAAGTATGAATAGATAATAATGCAAAAACAAATGTAGTCTACTTATCTGCTATGATGAAATAAATGCAAATTAGGTCAGTCCATGATGCAAAATTAAATTCAAGTAATTCAAAATGACTCACTATCTAACATGCCCAGTTAACCGGAATTTCTTCACAGAAGTGTAAAATCCAGTTTTTCTTTCTTCTCCTTTATTTCAGCCTTCAGGCTACTTTTCTTATTTATATAAAAATTATCACACAAACATATATAAATTACATCCTCTAAGATACATAGCAATTATATAATTTCACATTTGGTAAAATTATAGCTAATAATTTCAGTCCATGATGCAAAACCAAATTCAAGAATTCAAAACGACACACTATCTAACATGCCCAGTTAACCGAATTTCTTCACAGAAGTGTAAAATCCAGTTATTCTTTCTTCTCCTTTATTTCAAGCTTCAGACTACTTTTTCTTATTTATATAAAAATTATCACACAAACTTATATAATTACATCCCCTAAGACACATGCCAATTAAATAATTTCACATTTAGTAAAAACTATAGCTAAGAACCATTAAAAAGAAATAAAGAACATTAATTAGGCCAGAAAAAAAAAAGGATAACAAAAAAATCATACACGTTAATCGTCTTCTCTGGATTCCACCAATGCCCTGTATTGAAAACGAGCAAATCCGCAGTTTTCCACTTATCCGAGCTCCAGTCCATTTTATCGAGCTTTATAGTCATCTTCACACTCTTGGGAGCCCCAACAGGCGCTCGGCTCTGCAACACAAGAAATGGAGCTCGATAATATTCGACAGTGCAGTTAAAGTCTCTGAACTTGAAAACCAGAGAGCCCGTGTGTTTAGTGATAGGATTCCCGTTCACTTCGTATATTGAAGTTTTATTGGTAATGACAGAAGATAGCATGCAAAGAAGAGATTCCCATTGGTTTCGCCCGATAGAATCTCCCACAAACACGAGCCGCTTGTCTCTTAGATTTTCGAGCATAATTTTTGCATCAAACCTAGTACAGAATAATAATTCGTGTGATTACTCACAACAGTTGAATCCTTTTTTACTGATAAAGCTAAAATGTATGACTATTAATCCTACAAGCAATTTTCGTGATCTTTTTTTTTTTGTTTTTTTTTTAACTGGAATATCTTAAATGCAACCATGGAAGGAGTATTATTCACTATAAGTGGACACAAGCTAGGCAGATTTTTTTACGAACTATTTACCCGAAAATGAGAACCATCACCCGCAACAACACTCATAATCAACTTTGACAGCAATGAGAAAAAAAGAAACAAAATTTTGCACTAAATAGGCATTGGTAAAAAAACTTTCACTACAACACTAGGCTTAACTAGAAATCCTTTAGCCAATATGAGCTAGTTTTTCAAAATTTTGCTTCTTTTCCAAGAAAAAATTATCTGTTCACATTGACAAAAACCAACTTGCAGGAAATACCAAATTCATCCATTACGAGCTACTAAATCAGCATCCCGGTAAAGAAAAACCATTCCCCTAAAAGTTAGGGTCCCTAATCCCACACAAAATCCATGTCACAAGTCACATATCAACAATTCAGACCACAATTTTTTCCCTGATAGCCACACACACCTAACAATTTAGACTCATGAAAATTTCAATTTCATAGCATAATCAAACCAACATGCCACACCAAAATAATCTAAAAAAATGAAAAAGAAAAGAATAATAATCGAAAAAATAAAAATAAATAATAACAACCTGGGCAAATGGCAATCTTTAGGCTGCCAGCGCCACTTGGTGTAGAATTTATCGGGCCTCCCATTTTCAGTGCACCTAAAACCCTCGTCCAGGAACACGCAATCCTGCGGTTGGTAAAGCGGATAATTTTCATCCCAAACCCAATCCCCATCAAATATATCACAATACCCACCACCCCTTTCAAGAAAACCCACTTTCGATAATTTCAGAGCAGAGCTATTGGACCTAAACCAAGGCACTGAAAACAGCTGGCCCTGCAAGCCAGCCAATATTCTGTAATCCAGTAGAAAAAGGGCAAGGATTACGCAGAGGCTAAAGAAAAAGCACCCAAGAACACCAGGGGTAGACTCTTGAGCCTTCAAGAGCTTAAATTTCTTGAAAAAATCCATCTGGGTCATTCTCCTCTGTACTTTTTTTTTTTCAAAAAATCTTGTAAAGATTTGCTGATTTTCTAGTTCATCCCCAACTTTGGGCAACTGGGCTCCGACTAAACGGGGACAGAAAGTCAGAAACAACTTCGAATCTCAAAAAAGGTTTCACCTTGGACGGCGAGTATTAGTTTTCTTTGCTTTTATTCTCAATCTCCCTCTCTCTCGCTCTCTCTCTCTCTCTCTCTTTTATGTTACAGTGTTTATGGTGAGAAAGAAAACAAGAAAGAAACCGATGAAACGTGGACCCATGGCATTGAAAACGGGATTTGAATGGGGAAATGTTCAGACTCAGCTTTTACATCAAATTTCAAAACAATAGAATAAGATAGAGAGGCGTTTGAGAGAGAGAGAGAGGGCATATGAGAAAGGAGATAGGACAGAGTTAGAAGATGAGAAGGTGGGTCCAAGTTACAATGGCAGACAGTACATTCATGGCAAAAGCGGTTCTTTTTACTTTAGTGCATTCTACAAACTCCCTTTTGGTCTTTGCCACGCATTTTTGGCCATTGTTCATGGGAAACACTTCAAAAAAGTTACTATTGTTTATGAAATAATTTATTAAAAATGAGTTATTTTGATTAATTATAATTAATTTTAAAAAAGGTGATATAGTTAGTTGTTAATAGAATTTTAAAAATATATTAAAATAATATTTAAAATAAAATAATTAAAATTGATTTAATGTAAAAGTAGGAGATAAATGATTGAAAACAAAGGTAGTTAAAATTATGTGAGTGAATAAATAGTTAATTAAAGTTGATGTAATGTGTAAGAATGATTAGTTCGTATTATTTAATTATATGAATAATATTAAAAATAATAGAGTTAAGTTAAAATTGAATTAAATTTTGAGTGTGAAATAAAAATAAGTAAAATAATTCATAAACAATCAAGCACTTTAAAAAAAATTAATTCAAGTGTACAAAGAAGCAAGGATCTAGAAATTGGCATTGGGTTTATTGGTTTTTGTGTTTGTATTTGAACTTGAAGAAATAATAATATTATATGGAACATGTTTTGGGTGCAACAATAGTTCCAAGTGAAGTCCAATCCGCCGAATCTTCTTCTCTTCTTTCTTTTACCACCTCTCAAGGTTAACTTATGCGTTTGGATTTGAAATCGTTGTTATAATGTTTTTTTCAAAGTTGAAATATGTTTTGAAGAGCAATTGACTAAAGTATTGGCCTCAAATTCCACTGTTTGCAACATTTTTTTATATATTTTTATAAATTTCAATATTTCCTCTCTTATTTTTACTAGGCTTTCAAATATGCTTCTAAAATTTTTATGGATAATCGAGATTTTATCTTTTATTTTATAATATACTTTTCTATTACTAAAAATAACTTGTATCTACGTTTTATCATTATGTGTTAAAATCTCACAAGAATTGAAGCATTGCTTTAGGAATTAAATATTTTTCCCTACAAAATATTCCAAATAGCAAGACATGGAAGAAAGCCAATTGAGATTTATTCTCTCTTGCCATCTTCATTCTCAAGCAAAGTACAATTGAAAAGCTCCCTTCAATACTCATGATAATAAATATTAAATACTACAATTGATCCTTTGGTTAATACAAGACAATATCTCATATGTCAATAAGAAATTAATAAAAATAAAAATTCTCAACGGATTTTGTATCATTCATTTTTTTGTTTTTGTTAATTTTTTCTTTTTCTTTTTTTTTTTGTGTTGATTGGTTTGTACCATTCATTTATTTTCATTGAGAATTGCAATTGGTAGGTCGAAAATTTAAATCAATGAAGTAATGAACTCCCACGGTTTTTAACTTACCTAATGATTATTTATTTATTTTTGGTATGAACTCAAAAAACGTGGTCACAAAATTAAAGTGCTGAGTCAAGAGACGTGTGGGCCTGTGGGGATTGTGGGGCTTTGGATTGGTCCACGTCTGGAAAGGTGTAAACCGGTGAAAAATTGCAGTGTTGCCTTGCTAATGCCCATTTATTGCCTCGATTAGTCGATTTTCATAACTCTCATACCCTTTCCTAATGTTTAGGCACTTCACACTTTTCTAACACAAATATATCTTTATAAATTAATAAAAAATTATATTTTGATGTAATAAGATTATAGAGAAATGCTTTTATTTATGTTATTTAACTTTTAAAGATTTGAATATACAGAATATTGAATATGATGGCTACTTAAATGTTTGCCTAATACCATTTGGTTCATGAATATATTACGTCTAGGAAAATTTGATCTTGCTAAATTCATTCACGACACTCAAAAATATGCATACATATAAATCCTCCTACACGTTACATTCTTTTTTTTAAAGGAAGTTATTTAAACTTTAAAGTCAAAAGCAAACCAGTTGTATGAATATGTATAATGAAACAGATATAAGATTATTCAAATCAGTTCGTGTAAAGTAATTGATCAAAATTATAGATTAAAAAAAAAACATTTGTGGGTATATTAAGTTACAGAACAGGAGGTATTACTATTACCTTTATAATTTTATTCATTTCATGTTCACAATTTTCGACTTCCAAACAAAATTATAATTTTGATCATTTTATTTTCACAAATTTCTGACTTCCAAATAAAATAAATTCAAGAATTCTGATTTTTTTAAAGGTTTTGAGTTTGAGGGTTATACTAGTTATTTGCCCGCAACTCTCAACAAATACACATCAAATACATCCTCTCTGGTTCAAATTAGATGAAGTTTTAGAACTATGTAAGAAAACAATGAAATCAAGAAAAATGACCATTTTTAATCTTTATTTGTGGGAGGGAATAGGGAAGCAAACGAATCGAGCGACTCGCAGAGCACGAGTTAGGTTCGAGGAGCAACTTGAACTCGAACTATAGCCGAACTCGAGTCTATACTAGTATTCGACCCTGTGCATTTACACAATGTAAATATAATATTATAAGTTACATTTATGCATATAGTATTAAAATTATAAGTTATACAATGATATTATATTTTAAATATAGAGTATTATAAGCTATATATGCATATAATAATAAAAATATAAATTAGATAATGATATTATGTTTTAAAATTTGATCATTGATTAAAATAAATAGTACATAACTATTTGATTGCATATGAACCACTATATTAATTACAAAAAAATATAATAAATAGTGTGATTTTGAGAGATCGCCAATTTATTAGCTTAAAAATATTAAATTTATTATAACATTTGATTATGCGATTTTAAGGAATTTTACTATAACATTAAAATAAATTAACTTATTTAAAAATACAATCGCTAAATAAAAAAAATATATAATATTAACTTTAGAATAAATAACTTTAGCAAAAAGTTTACAATAATTTTTAATGTTTTGTAACTTTCATATATCATTTAGTGTAAACTATAGTTATTAGTTTTAATAATAACTATTATATGATATAATAAAATAGTATAATTATTACTCCGTTAATATAAAATGTAACGGTTTTTTATTTTAATTAACCCTAAAAAAAGTGCAATGAAATATTTTACCATTAATTAAATATGGTGGATTAATAATAATGATAATAATAATAATAGAAGATTGTAACATAAAAAGATGGTAAATAATAATTAATAATATTAAATTTATTGTTAGTAATTAAATATAGAGAGAGAGATATATATAAATGATAAAGTTTGTAACGGTTTTTGGAGGGAAATTAAAATGAGGTTTTATTAAATATTTATTAAATATTATTAGCCAACAATTATATATATATATATATAGATGTTATAAGCTTGAGTGTTCGATGAATAGAATTTTTTTTTATTTTTTTTTATTGAAATTCATCTCTAACTCGAGCAAAAGTAATGCTAATGAAATTTGAGTAGATGAAATTCCAAGCAATCTTCAGTATTTGTATATTTTGTTGATGAGTTGAGTCCAACCTTATTAGATAAGGCTAATGCAGAGACAGCTCAAATCTTTTGCAACCCTATTCATTTGTAATGGATGGACTTGCAAAATGACGGGTAAAATGTGAAATATAATGATAATTACAAAAAAAGGCTCAAACTATAGGTGATTTGATAGCAAAAGATAATTTAAGTAATCTTCGGACCACAAACATTGTTGAGCCCACAAATATATAATAAAATATTGGATTCTACCAATAATGTACCTAAGCAACAGTCCAAAAGACTTATGCTAATTGCATACACTTAATTTTTGCCCACTATAAATAGTTATGGATACTACCAATAATGAAACTAGTCTTAGTGTAACTAGTTACACTAAAAAAAAATAAAAAAAAAATAAAAAAAAAATAAAAAAAAAAATAAATGTAACTAGTCAGCTAATTGCACGCAACACCCATAATGGGTTTTATGCATATATTATCTTTAAAATCAATAATCACGTCACTATATATCAACTTTCACGTCAAAACTTATGCTTAAAGAAATGTATTTTAGTCTGTAATATGCTAATTTTTTTTAAAATGTTCTCTTATCTAAACCTAAATTATCTGCAGTAGTTTTCTTATGTATCACACAGTTTGCAATTATAAATAAATGGTAGTGTTTAATTGGAAGTTGCTAGTAGATATATTGACAAAAATCAATAAGATATATTAGAAAATGGTTGATAAAGAGCACCCGCAATGAATTGAGTTTCTTAAAATAATATCATATACCATGTAAAAAATAAACTTAGTTTATAAAAAGATGTCCCCCAGTGCAATTAAAAGTAGTCATGGTATATCTTATGTGGCAATCCAAAAAAAGAGAGCAAGTCGACTGAGTCTATTTTGGACCTAAATACAAACCTGAACAGTCAACATTTATTCTTAATTTAATTTTTCTTTTAATACGATAAACATATTAGAGCATTTTTATTAGTTGACAAGTATTCTAGACCTAATATATTATTTTTGCACTGAATAGCTTTTGGATTTTATTTACATGAGTTTGTATAAGTCATTCAGAACTTAAGTCAATTTATATGCCACATATGTAAAATTAGACCAAATGCATCGTGTGTGCTCTAATAAATGAATGAGACAGGAAAGGATATAAACATTCCAACGCTCACATTCGATTTGACAGAGCCATCCAAATCTTTCCCATTTGAAATAAATAAAACAAATGGAAAGAAAGACAACGGGTTGTACATGGTCCTAATCTTAATGACGGGCTCAAGTTAGTTGGTTGAGCTGAAAGCATAGTACATAATTTTCAAATGTCAGCTGGTTCTTTTCGCCATTCTCAGTGCTCAGAAGATAGTCAACGCAATCTCAAATGGCACCCTCCACCCAGAAATTCAGTGCGTCTCGATGTGGATGCAAGTGTTGATATGAAAGCTGACAAATTCGGAATAGGGGGGATCACTCGTGATGATCAAGGCAGGGCTCTTTTTGCTTTTGGCAAGCCAGTCAGAAATCCGGGTTCAGTCATCCATTGTGAGCTCATGGCAATCAAGGAAGGTTTGGGTAAATTTAGATTGTTGCACCAAACTCCTCAATTTGTTTACACGGACTCGTTGTTGGCGGTACAAGCAGTTAACGACTTCAACGAGACACATGGCTATATTCGCTTGTGGGCTAAAGATATTGGTGTTCTCATGTCTCAAGCGGCAGAGTCTAGACATCTTCGTCATATGCGTCGCTCGGCCAATAATGTTGCTCATGCACATGCAAAATTTGCTTCTTTTTCAAACTCCCCTTTCTTTTGGGAGGTGGATGTTTTCCCGTCTTGGCTTAAGAAACTTATCTGTATTGAAACTATAATTTCTGGTTGATTTGTTAATGATAAGTTCTTTTTCAGTTAAAAAAAAATATATATATATCAAACAAGAAAAATTTAGTAATATCTGCAATTTAATTTGGGGCAATATTTAATTAACCTGAGTAAAAGATCACCAGAAGCCAAAACTATATGGACACGTAGATAATCATAACACAACATCATAGAAATATGGCCCATCATATATATTGTGATTGTTTGTATCCCATTAGCAAAAAGTAGAAGGACTAAATGATTGAGAATCATCAAAATTGCACTGATCTGTACCTGCTGGCTGTGAACATTTCAGAGTTTTTTGGGCCACAAATCCTTCAATGTAGATATTTAGACAACAAAGTACTAACAAAATAAGACGAAAAAAATACTTAGCGTCCTCTACCGCGTCCACGACCCCGCCCACGACCCCTTCCACGCCCAACGGGCTTCCCTGAATTACACAAGATAAAAATGTAGTTACTTTTAGGCCTATAAACGAGTCGAGCCAAGATCGAGCTTAGGGTGCTCGAACTTGAGATCGAGCCATTAACGAGCTGACCAGAGGTTGGCTCGTTAAATAAACAAGCCAGGAATCGAGCTCGAGCTCGGCTCGCTTATCACTATTAACGAGCATAGTTCGAACCTTAACGAGCCGATCTCGAGTTTTAATGGGCTGAAGTATAAAAAATTATATAAAAAATTCTCTTTTCGAGCGTTAACAAGCCTTATCGTGAAATAAACGAGCCAAAAATCGAGCTCAACCTCCGCTTGTTTATCACTATTAACGAGCCGAGTTCGAGCCTTAACAAGCCAATCTCAAACTTTAACGAACTGAATTATAGAAAATTATATAAAAATTATCTTTTCGGGCGTTAATGAGCCTTATCGAGCCGAGCCAAACTCGACTCGTTAGCCAAAAAAGCTTTAAACGATCTCGAGCTCGACTCGTTTAAATTTAACAGCATTAGTTACTTTATAAAATTACCAATAGAAAGTGTCTCTTTGTGTGTGCAACCTTTTTACAATTGTAAATAAAGCCTAAAGGCGAAATGAAATCACACCTGCCGTTGGCTTCTTGGGCTTGACTTTAGGCGTTTCCTCAACTAGCAATGTTTCGAGATTCAAGCTGTCGGGAAGTATGTAATATCGGATATTATTACCCCTAACACTAAGGTGATCCATAGCAACTGGGTTTTTCCCCTTCAGAGTAAGCTTCACAGTTTTCAGATGTGTATTCATGCTGATGTCAACACCTATGAGAAGCAAATGGCCAACAAATTGCAGTTTTAGACGGAAGCATATTTTTAGAACCTCATTAATGTGAAACAAACCTCATCAATGTGGAACAATGGTGTTGCCATTAGAAGAGAGATGAGTAATTTCTAGTAAAACTAGAGTGCAACTGGATTATTACAAATTAAGAGTTCCACCATGTAAAATTGGCAAGTGAGTCACTAAATCGAAAAGGAAACAGCTGCACGATTGAATCTGAAGATGCATTTTTGTTGGGATCTAGAAATTCAAATCTTTATAGGCTGCCAGAAACTGGAGCAAGGGAGAAATCGACCAATCATATTTTTTTTCAACAATAGTCCATACTTTATTACTTATTCATTGAAATGTCAAATGCCACACTTTAATTTATCTCTGAAAAACCCTATTGCCATGGAATCACTACAATACTACAATGCAAAAGCCGAAAAGGAAAAAAATAAAATAAAATCAGCAACATAAAACAACCGCAAAGGTAAATCATCAATGTACTGGAAAAAAAGACAAACCAGTAATGGTGCCGTGCACTACGGTGCCGTTTTTGAGCTCAATTGACACAGTCTCGTTGTTCAATTTCATCAGAAATCTGCTCAAATTAAATGATGAAAATTATGCTACCACAAAATTTACTTCGACTGTAAGAGAAATCAAATTAGAAAAGTCCAAATGAAGCAAAAAGTACGAAGATGGTGAACGAGCACAAAACCTGACTAGCTTCATTGTCGCGATTGAAATTACGCGAGAACTTAGGGTTTTGAACGAGCAAGAACAAGAGTCTACAGAGCGGGAGGTTTTAGCGAAAACGTACTATGCAGGATTATCTGAGATCTGTCAATGGTAATATTCAATGGGCCTATTACTGAGCCTATTAAAGATTGGGCCTCACTAAATCTTAAAAATATTAATGGGTCAAGTGGAAATCCAACTAGAAACAAAATTCATTCTATATATAATTCTCGAATGCGTTCATCTAAGTGTCAGTCTCACACAAATTGAAATCCCATATTACAAATTTTCATAGTTTGTCATTTGTTTTGGATGAAATTTAATTTATTTTCAACTAAAATTATGTTATAATATTATTTCTTATTTTAAACATGGTTTATAAGGCATAAATTTTTTTCCAATATTTCTTTTTTCTTCATCTTTATTTTATAATTATAAAAAAAATAAATAACATAAATTATAAATATATTTAAAAGCTATAACATTTTTATTTATTATCAATTTTTTATATACAATATATCAAATTAATCATGTCTTGATGATATTCAATTTGATATTTTTAATGTACATAAAAATAAATAAATAATATATTTATCTTTATAACAAAATTTAATTGTATATTAAGATTAAATGGAAAAAAATATTAAAATTAACTTAACTAAAAATTAGTTATATGATATAAGTTACAATTATTATAATATAATATGTTAAGCCTTATTTGTTAGGGGGTCATTTTAAATATAAATAAAATATAGTTTTTAAGAAAAATGAAAATTAAAACTTTTTTTAATTTTAATTTTACATATAATATTCTTAACAAGTACCTGTGTAATACACGGGGATTGTATTAGTACTATAGTAATTAGTAGGCCATTGTATCCTATCCATAATTAAAAGCATACTTAATAATTCATTATTCACATAACTATGAAGATTTCTTGTACTTCATTCTGATTATTTGGAACTTCTAGTTCGAAGACTTTCGTTCACTTAAGCTCGTGAAAGAAATTTTAAATTGTAAACAACTTGTTTGTGAATAGGATTTGTGCATTTGGCAAATTTTGTGGCTCGGTAAATATTGAAACCTATAAAAAAAAAGGTAAAAATGAATAAAAGAGTTGTTTGTGAATGAGCTCGAAAAGACTCATTTTGAAAACAAACTCGATTATTGTTCAAACTCAGCTTGTCTAATTTAACGAACGAGTCGAAATCGAACTTTGAAGAATTGAACATGACTGTGTTAGGAAACAACTTGGTGCGAATAGCACCTCTTTATTCATTTTCAATGAGTCTAAACCATTAGATAAATTTGTTTAAAAGAAATAAAATTTCACATAGCTTTTTTTGTTCCTAGTATTTTTTTTTTATTTATTTTCGGTACAATAATAGATAGTTATGTCCTCAAGTCCGTAAGCCCTCGGTTAGAACCTCACTAGCTGGGTGCGTTGCAGATACATTG